AGATAGGATGACGCAAGAGAGCAGTGTGTTAAAAACAAACGTGAGATAATGTGGTGTGTGTGAACGTCACCTCGGCAATATCCGGCCATATTGTAACGCGATATTGTGGAACGAAAACTAGCAAAATATCGCGAAATAGAGTCGGTAGGGGTGTTCTGTGGTGTCTCAACAATAGGGGAAGTATTACACGCTGCCGGTGTGAGCTGAGATGACAAAAGTGAGTGAATGTAGTTTTACGTCGATTTTAGCAATATTCCAGCAATATCATGGCGGGGGACACCACACATGGGCTTCACACATTGTACCCATGTGGGGAATCGAACCTGGACCTTCGGCGTGACGAGCGAACGCTTTAATTACTAGGCTACGCCATTGCTCCTGACGCATTAGACGCGAAGCAATATGACGCATTACGCGTGAGGTAGGATAACAAGACATGTGGACGTGACGTAAGTTAGGGTGACACAAGGGATGATGTAAATGAGTGAGTGAGTGAGTTGGCTTTTACTCCGCTTTTAGCAAATATTCCAGCAATACCACGGCGTGGGCACCAGAAATCGGTTTCACACATTGTGCCCATATGGGGAATCGAACCCGGTCTTCGGTGTGACGAGCGAACGCTTTAACCACCAGGCTACCCCAGCGCCCCATTGTAGTAGGAGATGGTGAGGGGAGGGGTTGTAGATGGAATTAGGTTAAAAATGGTAGTACGCCGCAAGCGCGAGACAGCATAACCAGTTTGGTTCCATGTCACAGATGTAGGAGATGATAAACAGCAAATGCCACATAATTCCGGTAAAACATTTGTTAACACGCCAGGTCAAATACGTATAAAAAACACAAATCGATCGCAAACTCCAGAGATTAATGATTTTCTTGCACGGCATATTTCGAATTCATGGTAAAGGTGCTTTTTGTTTTCACACGAAACACCAATACATTAACGCCAGGAATGTGTCTGAAACGAGATCAACGTCAGCAAATTGAAACCACAAAGTGCTAATGACAGTGGTTTCTCTCTGAGCAAGGGTCTAACAACATCAAATTTTCACTTTGTATCGATGCGGAGGGCATTTTATGAGATAGATAGATGGATAGACAGACATAGATAGATAGATAATAGATAGATGGAGGGAGATACACCCACCCACTCACTTGCCTTCACATTTACCCACCCATCCGCACACTCCCTCCCTCACTAAGGGATAATGACATGAGTGAGTGAGTGAGTGAGTTTGGTTTTACGCCTATGTTAGCAATATTCCAGCAATATCACGGCGGAAGACATCAGAAATGGGCTTCACACATTGTACCCATGTGGGACTCAAACCCGGGTCTTCGGGATGACGAACGAACGCTTTTACCACTAGGCTACCCCGCCGCACCGGATAGATAGATAATCGTGTCTGGACTAGACAATCCAGTGATCAACAGCATAATCATTGTTCTACGCAAATGGGATACGGTGATATGTGTCAACTAAGTCAGTGGATCAGTATGCAGTGGATTTTCATTCTCAACTCCCTGGGGAGAAAAACCCAAACTGCCTGTGTGGCGAAATATAGTTTGCATAAAATGTCGATAAACAGACTGATAATGCAATAACAGAGACTAAATATGTTGGCTGCCCGTCGGCTTTCATTAATATATCGGCTTGATTTAAGAATATTTAAATTCAAATTCAATTATCAGAATAAAATAAAAAGAAATGACGCCGGAATTTGAAAGAAGGGTTTTGTGACATGTCACTTTAGTTGGACAGCTGTGCCACAAAATTCGTTCATCAATGTCACAATACTAAGTATTATTGCAACTCCTTGACCCTTTTGTTTGGTGATAAATTTTCAAGAAAACTACACGATTTCTGAGACAAGCTGCCGAACCAGGCTAGCTATTCTCGAAACGTTCGTAGTCCTACGCCCATTCTTAACACATTGGCTACGATCAAAGTTAAGAATTCTTAGGGCTACGAACGTTTCGAGAATAAGGGCCCAGAAACCCATGCCTGGTGTTGCCGCCGTGATATTGCCATTTCCACTCACTCACTCAAGAGTTGCGTCCCTTGAGCACACCAGGAATCTGTGTTGTTTCTAGATTTGACAGCACCATACCAGTGCTCGTTGGTTTCACCAGAATGGTTAAGGTCTGAGACCTACATCCCTTCTGGCTTTCCACCAGCGGTGAGCTGAGACGAGAATAGGAACCGTAAGTAGGTCACGGCACTTCGCGAGACCTTAGTCCTTCCGGTGACAAGCAACGTGTCATACCTTTTTTGAATGGTCTTATGGGTGTCAGTTGACAGTAAGGAACCGATAATCCTTGCAGGAATAACAAATTTCCGATCTAACCATCCCCAAATTAGCCAACTACGACTGACTGACTGAGTATGGTTTTACGCCGTTTTTATCAATATTCCAGCAATATCCCGGCTGGGGACACCCGAAATGGGCTTCACAAATTGTACCCATGTGGGGAATCGAACCCGGGCTTTCGGCGTGACGAGCAAACGCTTTAACCACTAGTCTACCCCACCGCCCATTAAAGCCGCACAAAGCGATATTCCAGCTATATGGCGGCGGTCTCTTTATAATCGAGTCTGAACCAGACAATCCAGCGATCAACAGCATGAACATCGATCTACGCAATCAGGACACGATGACAAGTGACCATTAAGTCAGCGAGCCAGACCACCCGATCCCGTCAGTCGCCTCTTTCGACAACCGGATGGGTGAAGGCCAGTTCCAAATCCGTCTTGTACACTGGGTCCGGTCTAGTAAATTCATATTTGGCCGTCGCGCAATTTGGAACCAGAACTGGTTCTTGAATATACGCTTGTCACCAAAAATCTGGTACCGGAAGTAAGCTGGACCTCATCTCGCAAATCGCAAGTTGGCTTACGCAAAGGGAGCTGGGAACCAGCTTAGAACCGGAAGTAGCGCCTCGCGAGACTTACAGGCCATTTCGAAATACTGTTCAAAGTGGCGTAAACATAAATTCCCTCACTTATTCATGTCGCTGCTCTGTTAGCGAACGGACAGCCACAACTTGATTCTGTCCAAATAAGGACAGTTTCAGACCTTAATAGTTACTGATCAGTGTGTCATTATAAGCATTATAAATGTACTTCGGAGTAGTGATGGGAATTGGTTAAAATCTCATAATTGATGATTGGTTCAATACAACCGATCAATCATCGAAAATAATTCGTTAGCGTTACTTATCAAATTTTCCTGTGACGTTTGTTAATGCACACAAACAATAAGAAAAACATGTAGTTCTTTGGTGGGTTTTTTAGCAAATTGAACAAATGCATTTGCAAATTTCACATTTTTTAAAGGATGGCTGGTATGTTAGGAACATAAATGTCCTGGAGTCTTCAAGATAAATTCATAGTTATTATGAAATGTCAATTTAATGACACAGACAAAACCAACCTTGTGAAAAATATTGTTAATGCAACAAGTGTTCCAAAATTGTTTGTGTTCCGATTATGAGAAAATATGATCAATTGCGTAGTCGTTTAGTCATTGCGACCAATCTTCGATCATTTCAATTAATCGTACCACCACTACTTGAGAGGCAGTTCGACACACAATTGACATGGCGTGTTCACTGGATTTTATGGACGCTTCATATCTCATCCTCACCAACACGACTACAATTACTGATTCTTACACTGAGTGAGTGAATGAGTGAATTTTTATGTCGCTTTAAGCTATGTTCCAGCAATATTCCCGCGGGGAACACCAAAAATGGTCTGCACACATTGTACCCATAAGGGGAATCGAACCCGGGTTGTGACGGGTCTTCGGTGTGACGACACTTTAACCTCAAGGCTTGCAAACACACGCCGAATAGTGACTGAGTAAGTTTAGTTTGACGCCGCACTCAGCAATATTCCAGCTATATGGTGGCGGTCTGTAAATAATCGAGTCTGGACCAGACAATACAGTGATGAACAGCATAAAAATCGATCTGCGCAATTGGGAACCGATGACATGTGTCAACCAAGTCAGTGAGCCTGACCACCCGATCTCGTTAGCCGCTTCTTACGACAAGCATGGTACACGCCGAATAAACACACTTACCATCACCAATACACACTACCCGAATAAACACCCTTCTCGTCACACACACACACTACCCGAATAAACTACTATGTCACCCGAACATACTACCCGAATAAACAACTTCACACACACACACACACACACACACACACACACACACATACACGCGCATGTCCTCCATGTACCCATAACCCAAATAAACACCCGAACAATCATCTACTTCCCTACCATCTACGTCCCTGAATAATCTGACATTTTCTGTGTCTTCCCCCAACAAATACAACATATTTACCACTAGGCTACCCCATCGCCCCTCGGGTTTCATGAACCACGAGGGTTTCACACCTCAACAAGCTGTATACTCTACGGTACTTTAATAGCATACAATTGGCTCGAGTGAGTGAGTGAGGTTAGTTTTACGCCACACTCAGCACTATTCCAGCTATATGGCGGCGGTCTGTAAATATTACAGACCGCCGCCATATAGCTGGAATAGTGCTGAGTGCGGCGTAAAACTAACCTCATTCACTCATTCACTAAACGCGGCGACAAACTAACTAATTCACTCACTCACTCCTAACTTGTCAATCACTTTACTGTCAAAGGGGACCAAAAAAAATTAATAACAAATCATAATTTCATTGATTTTATCCTATTATATTAATTATTGTCATGTTACTATGTTTTACATATTTAAATATATAAACGAAGCAAATAGGATTATTATTGATAATAATATTGGTCATACAAATACAAATTCATGGCTCGAAAAAAAGCAAAATGGATTGTCAAGCCGAACACAAGCAAAACAGTTTCTGCAAAGACGCCTCATTCGTGAACAGTTCAAGTCATTTCATCCACACCTAACATTGTCCCCGAATCGGTTACAACACGAGGATACACGAGAAATTTCTCAGCCTGTTTTCGAATGCTACAAATCGCACAAACGCAGCCGCACGTGCGAGGCACGTGCACAGGGGAAGTCCTGGGTCGCAGCTTGTGGGTTTGTCTGGACACGCTGTATGCTGGTCAGACATGTCCAACTTTGTCGTTGTCGGATTTCTGACGCTGCTTCTGCAGGTAAGTATTAATTAAGTTTTTATTAAAATTAATTATGTACCGTCAGTTGGTCTGAGGTTTCAGACACTATTAACAACTCTCAAGCATTCAGGCATCGGACATTGTCTTACGTACCCATTCCCCCACATGGGTACAATGTGTTAAGCCCATATATTTCTTTATACTGCTGGAATACTGCTAAAAACGGCATAAAACTAAACTAAACTGGAACGATTTCCACCCGTAACCTCCGTCTTTTTATCATTCTATGCCTAAGAATAGGTGGGTTTTTTTGTTTTTTTAAAAACTAACCCTAAACCAAACCATACACCCTCGAAAGATCCTAATAAATAGAATACACTTCAAGCGGGGGTTACGGGCGGAACTCTTACCCCTAAACCTAGCCCTAACTTAAATTTTGGACTTTTAATTATTTTGCTAGTTCTCTAGTAATTGTTGTGTTAAGTTTTGTTCATCATTCTAGAATATTTATACATAGTATTTGGGATGGGGGAACGGGATGAACTCTTACCGGTTTAGGGTTAGGTTTAGGTTTAGAGTTTGGTTTAGAGTTGGGGGAACGGAAGGAACTCTTTCCGGCCGCCGTATAGCTGGAATATTACTGAGTGCAGCGTTTAACACAAACTAAAAAACTAAGCGATTTGCACCTGCAGGGATACTGGATCGTCGTTTTCTATTTTGTTTGGGTCGAAAAGAGTCACGAGAGTTTCTCTGAGAGGATACGTAAGTCCCAAAACGTTCGAAGTAAATTTTGATCTACCACACCTTTTATCGTAGTATTATTGTAATATTAATTTGTGGCTAGATCTAAGCACAATCACCAATGACTGAAGGGATGGTGTAAATCCAGCTAGGGTCCATGCTGGTAGCTAAAGTACTGTAAGTCACCAAGGTCCCTATCATACTGATCTGCCTTCAGTTGTCAGCGATATATAGCCTGTTTTTATATTGTATTGTCTTTAATTCTATCGACCGCCTCCGTGGTGTAGGGGTTAGAGCTTCCGCCCGAAGAGCGGAAGGTAAAGAGTTCGATTCCCTGTGTGAAGCCCATGTCAAAGCTGATTATCTTTATGGATAATATGAATTGGTTAGAGATATATCTGCACTAGAGGGTTAAAATGTCCGTTTTTCGATACGGCATGTAAGTTTCAGTTTTCAAAATTACCAGTAACAGTATTCATATGCATGTAAGTTGGTAAAACCGGAACATGACTCTAACGGAAAAAAGTAACTGCATAACATGAAATTGCCGAAACTAAGTTATTTGAAAAGTTATAAAAATCCTGAATAAACATGTAGCAAAGCACTCTGCATGAAAGTTGATGTCGCGAGTGGCATTGTACTTTGTGCACAATATTATCTTGTCAATAGTTTAACAGTGATTAATGAAAACACCACAAATCATGTTATTTTTGCATTTTTACTTCATGAAAACGGAAGTAATCCCACACTATTTTACGTGAATCATCTGAAAATGTACTACTCACACTTTGCTAAGTATCACAAATTCACAACTTTACTTAAACGAAGATGTATATTTTGAAATTGTATCCATTTAAAACTGGATAAATGATATGGTAACCCCCTCTTTAGGCAAACAGTCACTTTTATCTAACCTAATGCACTTGATACATCAGTAACCATACAAATGGTTTTCATGGCACCAATCAACCATTTTGCACATCGTGGAACGAGTCATTGACAAATAAACAATACATGTCAATAGCAGGAATGGGATCCACAAAATTAAATGACATACTGAAACCTAGGATCCATGCTTACAAAAAGCTTAGCTATTTAAACCAAATTTGACACCACATCATATTTTTTTGTTGAATCCATGATTTGAACCTTAGCAAAGTGTGAATAGTATATATTTTGAATGGAATACTTCTCTACTTACTGACTGCATATGTTTTGTATTGTTTACTATAATTTCTGTATAAACATGAAAACGATCAGTTATGTGAGGGCAATTTAACTGTTAGTTCGACGTTTACTATGATTGCATGATAACTAAAGTCACATAAATGACTTATGTACCACTCAAGGTGAGGGGAAATTGGGTCGTGCTTGAGAATATTTCGCTCATATGACGACGTGCATGCGTGTGTATGTGTATGTGCGGCTGCTTGTACTAGCCCAGACTTAAGCTGGTTTTATAGTACTAGCCCACTGAGATACCATGCCGCAGTGAAGCATGAATACCCCACTTAGACACATTATACTGACTCCGAGCCGACCAGTCCTTGTTGTACCCATTAACGCCGAGCGTCAGGCAGGGCCAACAAGTACCATATTTTAACGTCTTTTGGTATGACGCGGTCGGGGATCGAACCCGCGACCTTCCGCTCTCCGGGCGGACGCTCTAACCACTACACCACGGAGGCGGTCTGTACCACTCAAGATGTTGGATAACTTGGAACACAATGCTTTTAAAATGAAGTATGCTTTATGGATGATAACTTGTTTATTGCATAGTGACGTTTCGGTGTACTTTCTTAGTTATCAAGCCAAAGGTGAATACAACCAAGTGATGAGGAGTATGTATACAGAGTATGGTGTCTTTGAACGACATTTACAAGTGATACACAAAGACAAGAATTAATGGATGTCAACTTTATTTTGATGGAATAAGAAAATACTCCAAAACGCTCTGTCCATCAGAATAAAGAAGTTGACATCCGGGCGGTGGGGTAGCCTAGTGGTTAAAGCGTTAGCTCGTCACGCCGAAGACCCGGGTTCGAATCTCCACATGGGTACAATGTGTGAAGCCCATTTCTGTTGTCCCCCGCGGTGATGATGGTGCTGGAATATTGCTAAAAGCGGCGTTAAACCAATGTCATTCAGTTGACATTCTTAATTCTTGCCTCTACACAGTATGCTGTGACAAGTATCAGAATAACATTCACGGCTCCAAACGGTCGGACTCGCTGAACGCAATTCCTCTTGTTCACAATGAACATATAACCATTTACACATAGGTATCTTCCACAAGAAGTAGGAAGAAACTTGTAGTCTAAATTGTGCATTTGCCATAACTGAAGTTGTGGAATTGATGATAAAACCTGTCATTTGCAACATTCATATAGCATGAAAGTTTATAAGAAATTATATAATTTACCAATGATTTTGAGTGAACTAAATGTTCATTTTATTGATCAGTCAATGAGTGAACTCTTAATCAAAGTCATTGAGTGAACTCAAGTACTGTCTGAAATAGAAAAACTGGGGTATTTTTCACATTTATATCTACATTTTATGTAGTTAATTTGTGAAAGTTTAAAATATCTGTTAAACTAAGTTCGGCCTAACTATAGTCTCAGCGGTTGGGAGACAGGAAACGTGAAAAAGGACTTTACTTGGGAGAGATTAGTGCAGAAATGAGCAATGCGGGGTGTTTTCCCAATGCGACTTGTTTGGAACAGGCCATGGCTTTATGTTAATTAGTGTGCGAGGATATTGTATTACAAAGGGCACTTTTAAAATGCCCATTTTGAAATTAGACCTAGCTTTATTATAAACGATTAAAAAAAAAATGAATACCGAAACTAGTAAATGTAATTACCATGAAACAAACAGGCTGGAGGGGTCGTGTCAAAAGCAAAACCAGGCCGGGTGTCGCAGACAATGGTTGGGGTCGGACTGGGAGATAGAGATATCAGCTAAAATCAGCTAATTTCAGATCCCTTAGGGTAATCAAACTGGCGAAGTAAACGGCATGTCATAACAATTTACATGTAAAATCCAGTCCTGTCGATCTTCGGGTGGTCATGCCACATATATATTTTGAGACATTTAATACGATGGCTGGTTTACGCTTTTCCATGGGCATCATACTCTTTTGCATCTCAACGTAAACTTTAGGAAAGAAAGACGTTAGATGTTAATCAATAGATAAGATATATTCAACACACAAGAAAAAACATAAAATATCTGAGGCAGCACATGCATTTCATGCCAGGTGAGTCGAGGGTTCGTCGTCATACCTGGCTGAGCGACCACATTGCCATATATAGTCTGATCTATTGTTTTCAACAGCAAATTGGTATTTTTTTTTCTACGTTTTGCCCTATTTTTACGAGTAAACATGCTTTTCTGGATATCCTATTAAGCCATAGGCCGCCATACAGCTGGAATATTGCTGAGGACGGCGTAAAACTTAACTCGCACACTATTACGCCATAGTGGCGTGTCTCGCTTAGAAACAGCGTTAGAAAGACACGTAGGTGACCCAACCCTATTACTATATGAAAGTAAAGGGATGTAACGACGAGACCCTCCTCAATCAAAGTTAATTTTCACCACGTAAAATACTTGAAAGGCCCCGTCGAAGCATACGGATTGAAAGTTAGGTGATTTCCCTACAAAATGAGCTATAAATGGCCACAATCGGATCATTATTTCAAAAGTTATACGCCACGACTCACCGAAAACAGCTACCTCCGCTATTCCTAGCCAAAATCATGGATCAGTCAAGACGGCGAAAACTCGCCTTTTAAATTCTTTTAATTCCAACAAAGTTGACAGCACCTATGTACGGCTAGATTCGATCGGCAGCGGCATTCCACGGGTCTAAAAACTTATTGCAACATCTACATATCATTTTCTCGACAGTAAGCAGGCATTTTCTCAAATCATCGGCAATCATACTCTTGTCGGCCATAGATGACGTTGACATTCAAGTGACCTGAGCTGATCCACACAAACTGACTCGGGCCATCCGATTGGTGGAAAATAAACTATACTGTAAGATTTTGTTTGTTTGCTAATAGGCGCGAAATATGAACTTTGCAATATTCCTTCTATTTTGGATGATGTACGGAACAGTAAATTCGTCAGAATAATTTTAGAGGTTATAAAAATGCATTTAATATTGATTCATTTTTCGGAAATTACATTTATAAATATTTAACCTCTAAAATTATTCTTACCAATTTACTGCTCAGGTCACGTGGCCGACAAGTGAGTATGATTTGCCGATGATTTTGGAGAAATCTAACTTTGATTGAGGGGTGCTTTCGTCGCTACATCAATAGTTTAGGGTCTATATACCTGTTTTCTAACGCTGTTCTAACGCTGTTCTAACGCTCTAAGCGAGCCACGTCCCTATGTATTACGCATCCCACTGAACGACCCGATGTGGGTATTTCGACATATGCTTTTTGCAATTGTGTAAATTTTAGGGATACAGAGGTAACAGCCTAAATACAGTCCACATTTCCCCACTCCAATCCTTGTAAAACATGTTTTTGTTCTGATTAAATGGCTGCCCACATGGCAGGTCAAACATACCATGTGCTCAGAAGTTTCCTATCTGACCGATTCCATAGCCTCACAGCTACCCGGTCCATATGCTGATATAGCCACAAGTACCCACTTCCACCTCATTTACAATGGTGTACCCTTGGTCTCTGTTGATCAACCCGTGAAGATCCGGGTTAGAATTGGTCTTGGCAACCCAGGTTTCATGCGACTACCGGCATCGGGTGGTCAGGCTCGCTGACTTGGTTGATTCATCATAATCCCAACTGCGTAATTGATGCTCATACTGTTAACTGGATTGTCTGGTCCAGACTCGATTATTTACAGACCGCCGCCATATAGCTGGAATATTGCGGCGTTAAACAACCAACCAACCTCTGTTGATCAAAGGACCCGTGAAGATCAGGGCTAAAATAGGTCTTCAGCAACCCATGCTTGCCCTAAAAGGCGACTTTGCTTGTAAGAGGCGACTACCGGGATCGGGTGGTCAGGCTCGCTGACTTGGTTGACACATGTCATCCGTTCCCAATTGCGCAATTCGATGCTCATGCTGTTAATCACTGGATTGTCTGGTCCAGACTCGATTATTTACAGACTGCCGCCATATAGCTGGAATATTGCTGAGTGCGGCGTAAAACTAAACTCACTCACTCACTGTTGATCAAAGTACTTCGATGGCTTCCAATCGTTTCATTTTCGCGAAATCCTGATTCTTGGTAGACAGGATTTCAACATTGTCAAACTACATTGTCAACCAAAAGTCGCTGTGTTCTTTAATCTGATTAGGTAAAAACATGATCGAATGATAATTCGATTCCCTGAAAATGCAAGACTATTTGCTGCATATTAGTACGTAAAAATATCTCACAATTGTATTGTTGCGTCGTCAGCAGTGGTGACGTCATTCAAAGCATGTTCTGACGTTAAGTCTGAAGTCACAAATGAGCAGTTGCCATGGGAACCAGCCGAAACACCGGCTGATGACGCTTCACTGTTCTACCCTTACTCGATGTCAATAAATGCAGATAGAAAAACGCGTGTGGACCTTTTGGTTTACTTGTTTTTACAATGTCGATTAACATGCGTTGGCCAATTTCCGGGTGTTATTGAGTATTTGAAGCACAATTGGCCAACACATGTTTATCTCCTAATTAGATGACTGAGGATTTTTCGCTGGTGGTCTGAGAGGGTTGATTTGCTGCCTCCTTGGCTGTTGAGGTGCGGGCATCTATAGGACGGGAGGTGTAACCTCCACTGGAGTCGCCACATTCACAGATAATATTGTAGATCATTCATTTTATCTTGTGTTTCTATTTATGGCTGTACCCAAACGTATTCCAATGAAATTCGTCATTTAAGTATCGTCTGAGAGTGTTACTAATATTGTATAAATATTCATTTGGTGTCAAAATTTCTAGACTGCTATTTCTACATTTTTCACCGCGTACATAGAGAATACTACACGAGGTCTCATTACATACGAATTATACGAAACGAGTGTCCTTCCTATGGTATCTGACCGAGCGAAAGCGAGGTCAGATAGCATAGGAAGGTCACGAGTTTCATATGTAACGATTCATATGTAAGGAGACCGAATGTGGTATTTTATTTATTACCCACGTCTTACATGCATTTAATTGACAAAATGGCGTGTTTTTGTTATTTTTATGGTTTCAAACCGAAACCGGTTTCATAAAGAGCTTGCGGAAGAGTTTTGTACTGCAGTCAGACTGTAATGACGTCACTGCCTTGGTAACCGACGTCACGATGCATGTCAGTTGTCATCGCCTCGTACAGCCTCCTACAGTAAACTACTCCGTAGCACCCCGTTTCATGGTTTGCAGTGACTTCATTCGCCTTACGTCACTGGTGGAAACATTGGGTTTGTTTTTCGACGGATATGTCTCAGGTCGACTCACAATTAAACAGCGACAAGGCAACGTTCGCAATGTTTACATTCCCACAATGCATTTAAGTTGTAGAATGAATGAATTCACGTGTTATGAATGAAAAAATAGTTACGTCAGAATGTGACCTAATTGAGAGGTCATCGGTTATCCAATCAAATCGTCAGAATCTCAGGTCAAGTCGTTACGACACAGGTCAACGCGATACGACACTCGTGTGACGTACGAGAATAGTATGCAACTACCCATACGTTGACCACGTGGGTAATAAATCGGCTTTACCTACTAGGAAGGGAACCCTTGAAGATACGGGTTAGAACTGGTCTTCAGTAACCCATGCTTGTCGTAAGAGGCGACTATAGTCCGTTAACTTCATTTGAAACCGATGAATTTCTCACTAACACAAAATCTAATAATTGCAACAAAATCAAACTTTGCACAATGACATGAAATCGACAGACCAACTCTGATGATTTGCCTCATAATTTTGGATACCCGAATAAGAAAGTTGTTTAACAAACGATCATTATTTTGTTGTCACTTATCGCTATTTCTTACGAGGTATGACCACTTGCTGGTAGAACAGCCAGGTTACCAACAAGCGTGTGCAGTGAAATTTCAATTTCACACGTACAACTAGCATACCTGGCTGTGCAGGTGGGATATATACACAGCACCTGAAACAGTGTCAGGTGGCACACTAAACCGAACCATTAATCTTTCCCAATTTCAACAGTGGCCAAATGTGACATTTGCTAACCTTGTGAGGTGGGTGCTTCATAGGGATGTCACGATACCAATGTCACGATTCGATACGTATCACGATACATATTTTCGCGGCATTGTGTAAATTTAGTTACATTTTGAACATTCATATTTCATATTTTATAATTGTCGATGAAAAGACCAACATTTTTTAATCTCATAGATTGAAATGTTCTGATTTCCCATCTTTGTGCATGAAAAATAATCATGTATAACTCTCACATCATAAACCATGATACAATTGCAAAATGTAAACGATACATAAACATATTTAAATCGATACTTTCAAAACTAAATAGACCCGTGAAGATCCGGGGTAGAATAGGTCTTCAGCAACCCATGTGCTTGCCATAAAAGGCGACTATGCTTGTCGTAAAAGGCGACTAACGGGATCGGGTGGTCAGTTTCGCTGACTTGGTTGACACATGTCATCGGTTCCCAATTGCGCAGATCGATGCTCATGCTGTTGATGACTGGATTGTCTGGTCCAGACTCGATTATTTACAGACCGCCGCCATATAGCTGAGATATTGCTGAGTGCGGCGTAAAACTAAACTCACTCACTCATTCAAAACTAAATAACGATACAGTTTTGAATGTATCGATAATTGTATCGTCTTAGAAAAAGCATCGAGGTATAGATGTATTGTGGCATCCCTAGTGCTTCACCCAAAGTAACCCATAATACCAAACTCCTCATCTTTCCTTGCAGTTCCAACGGTCTCACCTGCTGTATCTCCGATCCAGTGGAGTCCTGAATGAGGCTGCAGTTCGAGTGACGTGCTCCGGTTATTCTCCGTTGGCTTCCAAACTCATGGTGGCCAAACAGCTACATCCACTCCAGGGCTCCCTCATCCTGAAGCCCCAATGTGATGGCGGCGCAGATGCCTATAAACCCATCATACCAGTTGGGAAGGTCTTCAGTATTTACTACAGAGGGGATCACAGTTTAAGATGCCTTTTCAAGAAGGGCACAGCTTTTACTCTGGATATTCAAGTTGTTGCATTTGGGTCTATCGTTGTCGGGACGTTGACAGTCTCCTGCCCATTAAAACTGGTAACCGCCAAGCTCAATCGTGATCCATTCCCACCGTACAATTTGAATTACAAATCTGGGTCGATGCCGGCCTCAGTCGTTGGTATTAAATGCAACTACGACAGTTCCGTAGACTTGACGTTCATCCCTCAGAAAAAGAAGAAAATATTCTTGGTATCCTGTTTCAAGGTTAAGTTCACGCATACCGTTGAAGCAACGGCTGTAAAATCTCGTGCTGTCTTAGACGCGGATCCATTCACGAATTGCGTATTTCGCTCCGACATACCGTCTGTCCGAGATGGCGCCACTAAATGGAAAAGAGCTGCCAAAACTATCAAGGGTATTGAAGTGTCCATCTTTGATTACTCAACGTTGACTTGTGAAGGTACAGGTGTGATCGTCCCTTGTAAACCCCCTCCTCCAACCACTACCACGACTCCAGCTCCAACTACAGAGAAATTTACAACGCAGAAATTCACGACACAACAATGGACAACAGAAGGCTTTACAACGGAGCCTACGCCCGAAGAAACCACTCCAGGGCCCACGACAACCGAAGACTTTCCCACGGAACCATCGACCACACAAACTACAAGACCAACAACGTCCAAAGCGACCACCCCCAAGGCCACCACGCCCAAACCGACCACCACGCCCAAACCGACCACCCCCAAGGCGACCACGCCAAAACCAACCAGCCCCAAGGCGACCAAGCCCAAACCAACCAGCCCCAAGGCGACCACGCCCAAACCAACCAGCCCCAAGGCGACCACGCCCAAACCAACCACCCCAAAGGCGACCACGCCCAAACCAACCACCCCCAAGGCGACCACGCCCAAACCGACCACTCCCAAGGCCACCACGCCCAAACCAACTAAGCCCAAGGCCACCACGCCCAAACCGACCACTCCCCAAGGCCACCACGCCCAAACCGACCACTCCCAAGGCCACCACGCCCAAACCGACCACACCCAAGGCCACCACGCCCAAACCGACCACTCCCAAGGCCACCACGCCCAAACTGACCACTACCAAGGCCACCACGCCCAAACCGACCACTCCCAAGGCCACCACGCCCAAACCGACCACTCCCAAGGCCACCACGCCCAAACCGACCACTCCCAAGGCCACCACGCCCAAACCGACCACTCCCAAGGCCACCACGCCCAAACCGACCACTCCCAAGGCCACCACGCCCAAACCAACCACTCCCAAGGCCACCACGCCCAAACCAACCACGCCCAAGGCCACCACTCCCAAACCAACCACGCCCAAGGCCACCACCCCCAAACCAACCACCCCCAACCCACCACTCCCAAACCAACCACCCCCAAGGCCACCACCAAACCCCACCCTGAAGGCCACCACGCCCAAAGGCCAACCACCCCACGAAGGCCACCACGCCCAAACCAACCACGCCCAAGGCCACCACTCCCAAACCAACCACGCCCAAGGCCACCACTCCCAAACCAACCACGCCCAAGGCCACCACTCCCAAACCAACCACGCCCAAGGCCACCTCCCCAAACCCCACGCCCAAGGCCACCACTCCCAAACCAACCACGCCCAAGGCCACCACTCCCAAACCAACCACGCCCAAGGCCACCACTCCCAAACCAACCACGCCCAAGGCCACCACTCCCAAACCAACCACGCCCAAGGCCACCACTCCCAAACCAACCACGCCCAAGGCCACCACTCCCAAACCAACCACGCCCAAGGCCACCACTCCCAAACCAACCACGCCCAAGGCCACTCCATCGCCACCTGGTTTCACTCTGAACAAAGCAGGAGCTTGGATATCCTGTTCTGATCGTCTGTTTGACCCATCTTTAATATATTTCTCCGAGAAACTTCACCCCCTCCATAAACTCCTTGTACTCAGACCCAGCTGCAAGGGTGGGTCAGACATAAAGGCACTTCCTGCAGATCTGTATGTGTATTACAGAGGAGAGGCGAACACATGCCTCTTCCAGGTCAAAGGATCCCTCTATACAATTCGGTTTGACGTTTTGGCATATGGTACGCGCTCTATTGGGCGCCTTGATTTCTATTGTATCTCACAACCTCTCACAAAACACATGTACCGCATGTATTCCCACCATACCCGCTCCGAATAATCCCTAATCTCATTCAAAATGTTGATATTGACTGCAGTAAGAAAAACTCCATCACCGTACAGCTGCTTCCACAACGATCTAAAGTCGTCGTTGCTTTGAAATGTCAGGACTCGACCAAAACATTTGTCGTCAATAATACACCTGTGGAGGTCAAGATCTGGAAGAAGGGAGCTGACAAACGGTCAAAATGTGTTTTCAGAAATGATATCGGGATACAACCCGGCGCCATGATGCCGAAGTTGAACGTTCCTGTGCTATTTTTCAAAATGGCAGATTTCAGTTATCTGGGCACAGGTAGCATTGAACCTTGCAACGAAAATCCGGATAAGTTCATATTGGACGTCAGCTCTCACTGCGGCCGGTCGACGTCAGACGCAGCCTGGATCACCGGCATTAGTGACGTTGACGCGGAGTTCCAAGCTGTTTGCAAGTCTGGAAACGTCTTCAAATTCCACAACGCCAACGGGGATCGCGTCAACTACCGCCTGCCTGTGCAGTTCAAGGGAGATACCTCGAAAAAATGCGTCTTCAACAGGAAGGAGAATTCCCAAGTTTACGTCATCACTGTGAAAGCAAGCTGGGGCGAGGGGAGTAACCTGATCCACAAAAGCAACAGAGAATACCAGGTAGGTAAATGCATTGTTTATTGAAAAACGTTCACCATTCAAAACAGTCGACTGACCACCGTTTGTCAAAGCAGGCAAAGGAAGCATCAGATTGCACCTGTTTTCGAATTGAGCAAAACTGGAAGGAGTTTTACTGTTTTAAATAAAAAATACCAATATGTTCAAATGACATTATGTCGTTTAAACGAAATTTCTAACAATTTGTCCTGTTATTCAGTCTTGAGCAGCTGGGTGCGGTAGGGCAGCTTAGAAGTTAAAGCGTTCGCCTGTTCGCTCGTCACGCTGAAGACCAGGGTTCGATTCCCAACGTATACAATGTGCGAACCCATTTCTGGTGTCCCTGCCGTGATATTGCTGGAATATTGCTAAAAGCGGCATAAATTTCTTTCACTTGATGCTTGTCGTAAAGGTGAATAGGATCATGTGGTCACAGAAATCTGGACATACTCAGACTCGGCATAATCCTGTATGTTATTCAAGGAGCCCAATGCAACCATATATGCTATTGATTTTGACATGTTTCTTCATTAATTCCCACCTGCTAAAAAAATGTGTCCAATCTGCCATGATATGGACCATGCTCACGTAATGTCGCGTATGAGTCATGTTGCAACCGTTAAACTAATAGAAGCGAGTACTGGCTTTGTCCTGCGGGAGGGGTGGGGTTTTCTAGGGGTTAAAGCGTTGGCTCGTCACGCTGAAGACCCGGGTTCGATTCCCCACATGGGTACAATGTGTGAAACCCATTTCTGGTGTCCCCCCGCCATGAGATTGCTGGATTATTGCTAAAAAAGGCGGCGTAAAACCCAACTCACTCACTTTCTGTCCTGTGCCAAAGAACAAAAATATACTCGCGTTCCACGACTGTTCATCTATCTTGCTGAACAAACTTTACAAGATGTAAACAAGTATACGCTTGATAATCAACGATTGGTTTCACCTGCTTTTGTTCCGTTCGAAGGTGACGTGCGTTTATGGCAGTCGAGGTTCAGACGACACTCAAATCCAGAGCATTTCTGACAGGCTTATCGCGGCAAAGACCGTGCAGGAGAACAGGGGCCCGGATAGTGTGTCCACCATTCAGCTGGACGTTGTGGATGTCCTGGGCGCGCCAGTCACCTTCATGCCACAGGGAAGGAAGGTTAAGTTGAGTGCCAGGAGCAAAGGTGAAGGACGAGAACTGGGCATCAGGACGATCGGGTGTGACGCCATTGGTAGGTAGTTTCCTAATGAAGTGAAGTAACTGTATGCCAAAACATCTCCCCAGGGCCATATCTTCATAAATATCGAGGTGGTAGCCTTGTAGTTAAAGGGTTCGTCACGAAGAAGACCTGGGCCCGAATCCCTACATGGGTACAGTTTGTGAAGCCCATTTCTGGTGTCCCGCGCCGTGATGTTGCTGGAATATTGCTAAAAGCGGCGTAAAACCAAATTCAGTCAGTCAGTCGTAAATATGTTTTCGCCCATTGTCATCGATTTCCACTTTAATTTGAAAGCATTATTTGAAGTTCATTTTGACTTATTGTTTACATTATTCGCTTAAAATCCATATTCTTTAGTGTCTTTATAGTGGAAGATACAATGCTGTGTAAATCCACTTGGCGTTTTTATGTTACCCGAAAATTGAAAATCACTTGAAGACAGGTATGTATTCAACCAGATTCATGTTTATGTCAAATAGGCACGAAGACAAAGGCCAGGTACGCCGTGATCCGTGCAGGCTGTGGGGACGGGCTGATTTTCAAGAAGAGCGACGGATTTACAACAAATGGACTCGCAGCTACTAGCCCATACTTCAAGGTCTTCGCCATGCGCGATGACAATCTGGTGAAATTTGAGTGTAACTTTACAATGTGCGCCACCAACTGTGACGGCAGTTCCTGCAGCGTCAGTAGACGACGTCGGGATGTTCTCGAAGGCAGCGTCGGCATTGAGCATGCATACACAAGGACCATCAGACTATTGTGATTGGGTACCCATAAAATCGGGAATGGGACTTGTGTTGAGTCTTTTTATTCCTGGCAGGGTGGTGGGGTAGCCTTGTGATTAACGCGTTCGTCCAAGCGAAGACCCGGGTTCGATTCCCCACCTACGTAAGAAAACGTTAAGATCCGGGTTAGAATTGGTCTTCAGCAACCCATGCTTGTCGTAAGAGGCGACTAACGAGGACGCGGTTGACACATGTCATCGTATCTAATTGCGTAGATTGGTGCTCATGCTGTTGATCACTGGGTTGTCGATTATGTATAGATGCAATATCGCCGAGTGCGGCGTTGAACGACAAACCAACTACGTGCGTAAAATGTGTGAAACTGGGATCTTGTTGGAATGCTGCTAAAAGCGACGTAAATCCTTACTCGATGCTCTTGGAACGGAGCAGTAGTTAAGTCAATATAGCCAAATATGGACAACCCACCGCAAATTGCAGCATGTATGATCTCGACAGACTTACTCAGAATCAAAACGTCCATAGGGGAACACGGTCAAACTTGATTCCAAAGGTCCCAGCGGTCTAGGTAGCTCTGAAGCGCATGTGAAAATTGTTAACTTTTAAATTTGTTTCCTTTGAACCATAATGCATATCAAATGAAAGCTCTTTGTGGGCATTTCAGAATTATGTAATTTAGATATGATAGAAAATCGGCAGATGAAAATCTGGGTTAGAATTGGTCTTCAACCCATGCTAGTGACAGGCGACCAAAGGGTGGTCTGATTCGCTGACTTAGTTGACACGTCATCTATCTCGGTTGCACGGATCGATGTTATGCTGTTGACCACTGAATTGTATGGTCCAATCTCGATTATTCAGACCTCTTTCAAACAGCTGGAAATTGGCTGCGTGCAACGTTAAACAATTGTACTACCATTATAACGAAACCAATCTTGATATTGTTTAATGCTCACGGAACATTTTGGTTTTTTTAGTATATTGAAAGAGGGTACTAAAGTACTGTCGGAAGTAGAAAAAACTGTTTTTAGGCTGTTACTCAGTATCACTAAAATTTACACAACTGCAAGTAGCATATGTTGAAATAACCCACATCGGCCTAACTGGGCTTTCCTTGGGATGTCTAATAGGATATCCAGAAATGAATGTTTACTCGTAAAATCGGGCAAAACATACGAATAGCTGTTGAAATCAATAGATCAGACTATAGATGGCAATTAGGTCGCTCAGCCAGGTATGACGATGTTCCGTCGACTCACCTGGCATGAAATGCATGTGCTGCCTACAGGCACATGGGGTCATCTCAAAGATATTTTATGCTTTTTCTTGTGTGTTGAATATGTCTCATCTATTGATTAACATCTAACGTCTTTCATAACATTTGTTGAGATGTAAAAGAATGATACCCATAGAAAAGCTTAAATCAACTATCGTATTCAATGTCTCAAAATATATAGGTGGCAAGACCACCCCAAGATCGACAGGACTGGATATCATGTGTTAATTGTTAAGTCATGCCGCATACTTCCCCCAGTTTAATCCCCTACAGGATTATCTTATCTTAGCTGATATCTATACCCAACACCCAACCACCGTCTGTGACACTCGTCCTAGTTTTGATTTTGAGACGACCCCCCCCCCCCCCTGCCTGTTTCTTTTTAGAGTGATAGTGAGGCTCATTTGTAGCTACATCCTTAATAATTTCAGTGTTAAAGTTAGTATTTTTACGTCAGCTATCGTTTAAAAGGAAGGTAAGTCTAGTTTCAAAATAGGCATTTTAAAAAAGTGTCCTTTGAAATACAATATCATTGCACACTAATTTGCAAAAAGCCATGATCTGATCTGAATAAGTCGCTTTGTTCTAAATACACCGCATTGCTCATTTCTGCACTAATAACTCATAAGTGAAGTCGAACTTAGTGTAACATATATTTCACATTTTCATATATTAACTTCATAAATTGTAGATAGAAATGTAAAAAAATTAAAAAATGTCTATTTCCGACAGTACTTTAATATAGAATCGAAGATATTCAGTTCACATACTGGATTCTGTCTTTTAAAATGTGAAAGAAATGAAACGGCCAGTTTACTTTAAAATAATACCTATATAGGCATTTTTATAAAAATGCACAGTTGAGGTTACCGTAAAACTCCGTATGTAATCCCTATAGCTGCTACAAGTCCAGCAACCTTTAGACTGGTGGGCAGCTTCGGTGAATTGGTTGAACGTATGTCGTTTTCAATTTGTTTTAACGCCACATTTGAGTTTAATCACTGCGTGTCCGTCCAGTGTGGGAGAAAAGCACGAAGCGATTCAGGTCAGCTCATTTTGGAGAAACCTGTCATGTTATTGTCAAAGACGGCTTGCATGTTTGGTCTGTGTTTAAAGCTTTCGCTCGTCACGCCGCAGCCCCGACTTCCATTCTTCACTTGGGCATACTGCGTGAAGCTCATCTCTAGTGCCCCCGCCGTGTTTTGCTGGAATATTGCCAAGAGCGGCAAACAATCGCCCAAAACAGGGTTAACGTTTCTTTTGTGCGTCAGTATATTACGAATGATTCAACCCGTGAAGGTCCGGGTTAGAATGAACCTTCATTAACCCATGCTTGTCGTAAGAGGCAAATGACGGGATCAGGTGGTCAGGCTCGCTGACTTGGTTGACACATGTCATCGGTTCCCAATTGCGTAGATCGATGCTCATGCTGTTGATCACTGGATTGTCTGGTCCAGACTTCATTATTTAGACGGCCGCCATATAGCTGGAATATTGCTGCGTGCGGCGTAAAACTAACTCACTGACTCGCTCACTCAGATGTACAAGTGAGAGGGGTAGTTTAACAAGGAGATGCTTATACCGTAGATTGGGCTTGAAGGAGTTCTTCATAAGCGGTTGGGATGATAGATTCCACTACAATTATCCGTGATAAATGTGTTGGGTAGCCTTGTGGTGAAAGTGGCGACAAGGGTGAATCCTGTGTCAGGCCGTCTTCTGGTCCCTGTTATATTGTAAAAGGCGGCGTTAAGTCCAGCTCATTCATTGTTATGTAAGCAGTAGTCTTGATGGCTGATCGTGACCGTCCCATGATAGCTTTAGATGTTGCTTTCACACACGGTCTCGACTGTTCCAGATTCGGTGACTTTAACACTACTTCAGCAACCTCCTTGGGCGGTGGGGTAGCCTAGTGGTTAAAGCGTTGGCTCGTCACGCCGAAGACCCGGGTTCGATTCCCCACATGGGCACAATGTGTTAAGCCCATTTCTGGTGTCCCCCGCCGTGATATTGCTGGAATATTGCTAAAAGCAGCGTAAACCTTGATGTTCATTTGGAAAACATTTCGTTCGATTGTGATCGAACCCAGGTCCTAAGTGACGAGCGGACGCTTTATCCATTAGGCTATACCACCGTCCAGAGTCCGGTCAAGACTACTCGATATTCTGAACATGATGTAAGAACCGTCTGTCGCCTAAATTCGTTCTGCAGAGTTCCGTCCCTTGGCCACGCAAGGAACCAATGATTTGTGTTTGGATATTTTCCCGTTTGCCCCGATAAGATTTGTAAACATAAAACCTGTTTCTCACGACAATATTGCTGAACGCGGAGTAAAACCATGCTCACCCACTCACTGACCACATGACCGATATCTGATAGGGGTCTCATGGGTCTGTCGGGTGTCCGAAATTGGTGCTTCACAGGTCTCCGTGTCAGACAGACTGTAACCCACTTCACATGAGACTGACCCGAAGATCTGGGTTAGAATTGATCTTCAACAATCCATGCTTGTCGTAAGAGGCGACTAACGGGATCGGGTGGTCAGGCTCGCTGACCACCGTAGATCGATGCTCATGTCAACCACTGGATTGTCTGGTCCAGGCTCTATTATTTGCAAACCAACGCCATACAGTTGGAATGCGGCGATAAACAAGAACCAACCAACCAACCAACTACATGAGACTGAAGGCAGGTTATCGATCAAATTGCACATTATAATGCATTTTTGATACCTCTGGAATAGATTTAATCGCCCCGTACATGTTTCTTAGTTCGGATCAGGCAGTTCCGAGCTGTAATCGCGATAAAACTCCATTGCCACAAACCCGTGAAGGTCCGGGTTAGAATGAACCTTCAGTAACCCATGCTTGTCGTAAGAGGCGACTAACGGGATAGGCTGGTCAGGCTCGCTGGCTTGGTCGACACATGTCATCGGTTCCCAATTGCGCAGATCGGTGTTCATGCTGTTGCTCACTGGATTGTCTGGTCCAGACTCGCTTATTTACAGACCGCCGTCATATAGCTAGATTATTGCTTAGTGCGGCGTAAAACTGAACTCACTCGCTCACTCATTGCCATAATCTGCGTGGGCAAAACGTGAACTGGTAGTTTTCGTTAGGTTGCCTAATGCAGTCCAGGCAAACAGCTTGTAGAAATCGATACATCGATCTCAAACGAATTGTTTTCTGCACTGCGATGGAATGATTATCAATTGGAAAATATTTCTGTTTGGAAACGTCATGGCGTCATACATCAACACGCACTTCTCTCCCTGTTCGGGGCGGTGGAGTAGCCTAGTGGTTAAAGCGTAGAGCGTATGGTTTTACGCCACTTAGTCCAGCAATATCACGGTGGGGGACACCAGAAATGGGCTTCACACATTGTACCCATGAAGGGAATCGAGCCCGGGTCTTCTGCGTGACGAGCGAACACTTTAACCACTAGGATACCTCATCGCCCCAAATATAAAGAACTCTGACACAATAAAGACGTAATGTCAAAGCAAACCACAATCGTTAAAAGCAACAGTGAAACAGTAAATTTAATAGTAATAATTTCAGCGCAAGGAGAAGAGGTATATATGACTACACATCATTCAGATCATCAAATCACGTACCATCAGGTATCCTTGACGGACTCACCCGTGCAGATCAGGGTTAGAATTGATCTTCAGTGACCAATGCTTGTTGTAAGAGGCGACTAACAGGATCGGGTGGTCAGGCTTGCTGACATGGTTGACACATGTCATCGTATCCCAATATTGCTGAGTGCAGCG